AAATGGGCAGTGTGCTCGTACTTCCGCAACTACAATTTTATTTGAAAATCCTGTCAATTCGTCTGGTTGTGTTGCATTGAGCACAGACTCAGAGCTGCAATAGGACTTTAGCTCGCGGTTGATCTTTCTTTGAATAGCAAGCCTTAAAGACTCTTTCAGTTCGTCGTTTGGATGATCTAACACTGCATTCGCAACAGCAGTCCATCCGTTGTTGACGAGATTTTCAATTATTTGGACGGTTTTCCCSATTGTAGGGTTGCGAGTAACGACATCGCCATTGGGATGAACTGACAGAACTTTCATTTTCAAATGAGAACGTCCGCCTTCGCAAGTTTTCAAACCATKCACATTGAGTTTACTTAGYACCTCATCATCTAGGCTGATCGGCAAGACACTTTCGGTAAGATTGGCATCAGTATTTTCTTTATCGTCACTGGAATCCTCCTCAAACAAACGTTTCTTATTTGTATTTTTCTTGGCTGGAGACTTAGTGCGAAGAGCTTTACGGTTGTTTGGACTTACTCCACGATCTGGCGTGAACAATTAGCGCTTGTCCGCGCCTAGCACTTCCCTCTCAACATCGGTCTTAAATTTCTTGTTTACAACATTAATCGAGGATTCCAGCTCTAGATGCAGTTCATGGGCCTTTATTATTTTCCTAGCACAAAGCCTGCATRCCTTTTKTGAATGACTGCTTGAATCTATTACTTGAAATCCTATTTTAACACATAACTCAGACAGAACGACACCAAACGACTCTTTTCTCTGCGATGGTGTGAACAAATTCCAGGACGAATTGTGGATGATTTTGTTGAAGTTACCGACTKTAGTTCTGAAGTCACATTTGCAAACTCTGCAGTAATAATCAGGACTATCAGGCTTCATCGCGTTTGCTGTAACCCATTTGCTTTACATGTAGATTCTCACAGAAAAGAAATCAAGATTGCTCGATCCGTAAACACGTAACAGCGATTGGTTTTTCCCGCCAAATGTTCAAATGTTTCTAGGCTGTCCATCAAATTTTATTCTGCGATGAGATTGGTGGATAGTTACATTCATTTACATCTTCTGACGAGTAGGCGTTGAGTCATTCGAGGCAGCTTCGTTTGCAGGCTCTTCCTTTTTCCCCTCCMCCCCMTCCCTTTTGTCCTCTCCCCAGTCCTCCTCTCCCCAGTCCCCCAAGAGCCGCTACGCAGGCTATCGAATTGTTAGAGATKTTTTAAAAAAAGTCTCATTTTGACACATCAGTTGCCCTTTAATCACTTCGTTGAATAGTGATGATTAATGCAATTATTGTTTTACGCGAAAAAGACCTATTTAATAGTATTCAATATAGAGGTAAACTAAGTTTCAGTGGATAAGCAACTTCTACATATCCATCTCTTTGTCTTTGGAGGTCGAGACTTCCCAGTGCAAGATAGATGATACCACTCAAGGCAAGCATCACCGCCTAGTATCTGCTGCTTTTTAAGGTACAAGTCTTTCAAACAGACTTTGCAATTCCAGGTTTTCTCTTTCCTGACTCTTGAAAACAGTGACTTCATTCTCTTCCAGCCTGACAGCGTAAAGTACTTTCTGACTCTGTATATGTTAATGATGGTGTCATCACAGATATTTTTAGGTATATTTTCCAACACAGGTTCAGGTTCTTCTTCTGTTATCAGCTTTTCCTCTACAAGAACCTTTTCAATTATCTCCTTAGAAGTCACCATTTGTAGTATGACTGCAAATAATGCAGTTAAAATTTATTTAAAGTTTTTACTTGTTATAACAACGTCAAATCTCATATACCAACTATACATATAGGCCTTCATTAAGCTTRCACTCTTCATTTTCAGTAGGTGATTTGTTTGCAAACAAAGTTGGTTTCAGCAGGCACTGTGTATAAGTAAMATGTAAAAGGTACCATAAATCTTTCTCTTTCCTTGTAAAGAACGTCATTGAAAAATACAATGTGACAATACTGAACACTTTGTAAGAAAACTTTGCAATGAAAACTATTTTCAGCTTCAAAGGAATACTTGCGGTACTATTAACAGCAGATTCTCTTGCACAAATAGGTTTTACAAACATAAAAGAGCTCCACCCAGCACGTGTGTGGGAGGGTGGGTCGAAGTTGTCAGTGCAGCGTTCGTTGCCAAAGGACGCTTATGCATAATGAGTTTGGGATTATATAATGCCAATTACGTCATCCCTAAGGATCATGAATATTCAATGAAGTGTGAATAGTACATTATGCTGACTTATTAGCATGGACTCTGTTTCGTCTTTTGCGCTGAGTCGTCCCWGCTMCCAACGTGGCTYATAATTGACTCTAGATCTACTCCCGCCAAAGCGAGGGAGATGCACACCCACTCCTTAGTCCATGCAGGGTAACCCTTCGGCCACAAAACACCTGCGGTAACTGTGTAAGGTATGACGTCAAAACGGCGCTGAGGTGGCGATCTATCAAACGACACGCTAGACACCTTCCCCAATGGGTCATGGGGCGAAACAAGTAACTTGTCGCAATGGGAACACCAAGAAGCTTTGCCACCCTGATGTACACTTCAATTCCCGTTACCGGGCAAATTGTGATCCTTTTCATAGCGTTTCAGGGAGAACAGGTTGGCGGATCCATCTCTCTCGTCTTTGTCAATACATGATTGAAGAGCAAACCCTCTCTCCTCGGAAAGTATAGAATTTCCTTTGTTTTTACTCTTCCCAGGTCTCCAGCCCTATCCCCGGCAAAGAACAGGGTTTTAAAGAACGCTTGGTYTCGAGCWAAAATATATACCTGTCTCGGTTCGGCTTGGGATGGTATGACTCTAGCATCTAATTGCTCACGCTTAACTGCTGACAAGTAATCCTTTACCACCTTCGCTGCTGCCGGATTAACATAGCTGGGSAGTGACGAGTAATCATTTCCTCTCCTGGCTGCCGAGAATAGAGATTTTTAGTAATTTCCCGATTAATGAATCCACCATTCCAAACGCTAATCTTTTTGGGCACTTGCACCCCGACCATTTTTTTCTCTCACAGAAGATGGCATTCATCACGATGTATAATTGTTGATTAATAATAATAATAATTGTTAATTAAACGAGACTTCTATAAGTTGAAGTTTGATTGAGATTCTAACATGCCATCAGTCCGGAACGAAGGAGTCACATGAGATGCGCATGTGCATTACCAATCAGTCTTCAAAGTGAGTGACA